TTTAGCAGTATATTTCCATCTGGGCTCAAGATCAGCTTCTCTTGTCTGCAAAGTCAATTTATGCCCACAGAATCCCTGCCAGCATTTTTCCAGCAATAGTGTAAGCCATGAATGTACAGCTGCATGGCTCACAGTCCCTTCGATTTACATTCAGTCTAATAAACAGAGGGAATCAGAACATGCAAGTTGTGTGAGTTGATGAACCTGCAGAATAAGGACAATTACCTCTACATATACTAAGCAGGCAGGAATTTGGTTTTACATGATCACCTAAGACACTTACAGACAGCAAGATGTTCCAGTTGTGGAGGGGCCTAGTCTGCAGCACTGAATCACACAGTTTGGTCTTGGGTAAATCATACAACCTTTGCAATTAGCTTCTTTTTCAAAGGATCTGAAATAATGATACATATTTTCCTAATTTAAGTGATATTTTAAGGATTAGCTAATGCTAGCATGCCTTCCAAACATACAAAGCGCTGTATGGCACTAACAATTTTACATGCTTGGCAGAACGAAGATGTACAATAATCCTAGGGAATTTAGAACCTATCATTTCACCTAACAGATATTTTTGAAATATGATGCTTGTATCAAGCTAGAATTTTTTTTTTCTCAGCTGGAGAACATATTTTATAAGGTTTAATCATCTACCACAAACTCCCATATCTTCTCATACATCATGCTTAAAGTGCTAGGACAGCATGTAACCTGTGAAGTAGAATATTGAGGGGGACGGTCAATTATTTCATAGCATAAACTTCATAGTACTCATATATTATGATATTTTCTGTATTTAGTTTGCTTGCTTCTTTGGTTTCTACTGCATTTACTTTTTTATTAGTAAATCAAAAAGTGGATTAGGTTCCTGTTTGGTTAGAAAAAAAAAGCAAATATTTTGTTAAGAAGTCTTAGATGATTAAAGAACCCTTCTAACCAGTTAAGGAGTCACTTAAGCAGAGTATTTTACTTACTTATAATTAAGTAGTAGAAACACAGTCCTTAAAGCATAGCTACATAGCAATGAAAGGAAATTATCTTATCCTTTCACTTCCTCAGCAACTCTTTTGAAATCATATCATGTATCATCTCCTATTCTCACGTCCACATCACCAGATCTAGCATGTGACCTCTTTTTTTTGGCTCACTGGTACAGGGACCCTTATAATTGCAGAATGAGGTCCACAGAGCCTGAATCTGCAGGAGCAGAGATTTGCTTGCATGGAATTGTGGAGTGTCCTTGAATCCCATGGCTCACACTGACTGGAGGTCAGAAGATGTCTGCAGACATGGTTTCTCCACTCAAAATACGATCATATTTTCTTTTTATGATTGTTTTTTCCTCCTTCCAGCCTAACGCACAGTACTCACAGTTTCTTTTAAAAAGCATTGCTGAACCTCACACAAATTGACATGGAATAAACTATTCCGTAGATTGTACTGTACTTCTGCATACGTGGCAATGGTAATGGAAGGAAGTACCTCTGCCTTGCTGGGCAAGACTGCTGAGTCAGAACAGGTTATCATGAAAGGCTAGCTGAAAGAATATTTCAGGTCAGCTCTGCCTTGTGTCCCTGCAGGAAGGCTGCTGCTGCTACAACACATTTCCAGCTCAACTCTTCCATTAAACTGCAGAAGTTTGACATAATTTCTGTGCTGTTCTCTTCGTCACACAACTTGGGAAAACTAGTAAATAACTGCATTCTAGGGTGACTACAACCAGAGAAACACCCTCCTGTCCTGTCCCTTTCCACTGCAAACATTTGCTGCTTGCCTCTTTCCTGTGGAGTCTCTGAAGCAGAACTTTCTTTTTTCATCCCTCTGCCAAAGTAGTTATCACCACCTCCTCCCTCAGCATTGCTCATGTAAAAGGCTGCTTCCATGCCAAAAATGTCAGTTATGCCTGTGACTCTGTTGCTGCCCTTTTCCCCTCTGATCCTCATCAGAACAAACATCTGCAGGATGCTACCTCCCACCTTCTCGCACCTCCACATCATGCATACTCTGAAATGGCAACAGTACCCCTTATTTATTTCAGGGTTGATGGCTGCCTTCTAAGATTACAAAACCCTCTTGGACTTAATTCAGCCTCTCAGTAAATTAGATCTGTCTTCTGACCTCCCTTGCCATTCCACACCCCCTTGTCACAGTCAGTCGCAACCCTCTGTTACCTTCTTTTACTTCCTCTTCTCTGAAATAGCTTCACCTCTGGGATTCTCCGAAGTCAAATCTCAGCTGAGAGGTTTTATTTTAACCGTCTCTCTTCATTCCTTTTCTCTTTTCTGTTTATCATCCTTAAGATTTATGAAAAGTTCCCTAGAAAACATGCTGTAAAGAAGCTTAGATTAAAAACGCTGTCCATGTAGAGCCTCTTTTAATTTCTGTTTATTACTATTTGAGAAAAAAAAAACAAACCAACAACCCAACATCTACCCACAAGTAGTTTGCTTATATTAATGTGAAATAACTTCACCAAACTTTAACTTTATTTGCCATGGAAGTAATATTTTAACCACACTACCACACCCTGCAGTATTTAACAAACAGAGCAGCAATGAATATAAAGAAAGCCATAGCAGCAGTTTGGTGTACATGTGAGACAGTTGACTCAGAAGCCTGGAGCAGTAGCTCTCTGAAAAAAAAAATCACACACATCAGCATTTCTTGTACTAAACGGTACTCTCTTTTGCATTTGAAAAAAAATACTAAGCAATTGTCATGAAATTTATTATATCCTTTTGGCAAGATATTATCCTCAAGACACCAGTGAGCCCTCAGTTTTAGAAGGGAAAAGCTATAAACCTTAAACCAACAAGCTGACATTAGAGATTTCTCTGTCAGACGTTTTCTACACACTGTTACCCGAGAGCAATGTGAAAATAACAGTTCCCTCTCACTTCTCTGCAATTTACCATGCAGTCACTGCCGTGGTACCTTTCCTCTACCATCCCCTTCTGAAACAATAAATCAGTGCAGAGCCAAAGGTGGCGAAAAGTTTCTGTTCCTGCGACGCCCTGCAGCGAAGCAGCACTGCAGCAGGGCAGCACGCTGCCAGGAGGATCACTCTGATTTGCTTCATGTTACACTGAGGGAACACGAACCATTTGAATAACCTCCAGGTAATCTGCATTAAAACCATTTTACTGCAGTGTACTGCGGTATTAGGAAAGATTTCAATACCCCACCACGTGATGCAAGACAACCTTATAGCATTTGTCGGTTCCCAGGCAGCGAGGGAAAGCTTTAAATCATAGGCTGCAACGTAGCAATTTTCCATGTTACAGAGCAACATGACAGGCTCTTCTGGCTCACTATGCTGGTTTACAGTGTGAAATGATACAAAATTCCTGGAATAAAATATTGTAGACCTAAAAGCCAACTCTCTTTTTTGCTTTCTGTACTTAGTCCCCCAACCTGGTATCAAGAGAATCTTTCAATGAAAACGGATTTCCCTCACATTAAGGATACAGTGAAGTGTTACAATGTTATTAGTATTCCAGAGGCCATTTTCCCCTCATCTACTTCAGCTACCATGGATTCGCTCCTCACTCTCCCCTTCCAGCTTGTAGATTTTGTAGTTAATTCAAATCTGCACATATGCTTTTCTATATAGTTTTATAGCAGTCATAAAGCAGTAGCATTTCAACGTTATTCCAATGCTTACATATAGAGATTTTCAATATTTTTATGAAGTTATAGAGTCACAGAGTCATACAATGGTTTGGGTTGGAAGGGACATTTAACTGGCATCTAGTCCAATCCCCCTGCAATGAGCAGGGACATCTTCAACTACATGAGGCTGCTCAGAGCCCTGTCCAACCTGACCTTGAAATTTCGGAGATGTTTCTCAGATTTATTTGCTCACATCAAAGATGCATGAAAAGAGCACGGATTTTGTCTCGAATTAACCTAACTTTTCCCTCAGTAGCACAGGCAAGCACACTACCACAAAACGGTACCTGGACGGATTTTCGGCACCTGAGTTTTTTTGGCTTTCAGTGGTACGAGGGAGGGAGATTAGAACTGCAACTTCAAAGACCTCTGAAACGGTCTGAAGTATGGGGCACCATCAAAGTAACAGCTCCAGAGGCAGCGACAGGGACATGGGTGAACCCTGTTACCATCCGCATTAGCAACCCACACGCGCCAGGAGGTCTGCGCCACACTTGACGCCTTAGCTCGGGCCGCAGCTCGCTGCAGTTTACTGCAGTACGAGGGTACACACAGGGTACGGCCCCGCCACAGCCTCCGCTGCAGCACCCCCTGCACCACGCAACTTCCACACGGCTTCCGTGCAGGACTCCCGTTGGCGAGCGCGCACACCGCACAGAGAGACCTGTGTCTGCCCTGCACCTCGCACCCGGAGCAGCCGGCGAGGGGCTCTGCCCAAATCCCAGCCCCAGGACCTCAGGTCGGCGCAACGCGCGGGGTCTCTCGGACGTGTCCTGCCAGCACTCCCCAGCTGCTGCCACTGCGCGAACCCCACATCGCGACCCTCGCCGCGGCTCCGCCTGCCCGGGGCGCCGACGCAGACCCCCACTGCCAACAGGCACAGGCCGGCACGGGAGACCCCTGCCGCTCCCCCGGCCCTTTCCCTGAGCCCGGCCGCGCGGGAATCTGCCCCGGTACCTGGCAGCAGCCATTTTCCGCCTCCCTCTGCAACAGCTCCGGTGCGTGATGTCAGCGGCGGCCCCGGCCCAGTCCCCGCGGCAGCGGGTTGCGCTGCGCCGCGATCCTTCCTCCCTCCAGCCGGCGATGGCACCCCCCCCCCGCTCCTCCTCCTCCCGCTGCCCCGCCCCGCCGCCATGCGGCCCCCGCCCCGCTCCGCCCGCCCGCCCGGTGCCGCGGGCGCTCATCCCGCCGCTCTCCTTGCTGGCGAGTGGGCGCGAAGGGGAACCCTCACCGCAATAGTCACAGCGGCGGCGGCGGCTGCTGCTGCTGAGTCACGGCCTGGGTTTCATCCCGCTCCTTCACCTCACCTTTCTTCATCTCCTCCTCATCCCCCGCGCCGCCGCCCCCCGCCCGGCTGCCGGCTCCAGCAGCTCGGTGCCGGCGGCGATGCCCGCCCCGCTGCCGGGGGGAGAGGCTGCCCGGCGCTGCCCGGCCCCTAGCCGTTCGTCGCAGACCCACGCACTCACAGGGGCAGCCGGGCGCTTGAGCCATGATTGCCGCGGCTTTCCTGGTCCTGCTGAGACCCTACAGCATCCAGTGCGCCCTCTTCTTGCTCCTGCTGCTGCTGGGGACCATCGCCACGATTTTATTCTTCTGCTGCTGGCATCGCAGGCTGCAGAAAGGGAGGCATCCCATGAAGTCTGTCTTTTCGGGTCGCTCAAGGAGCCGAGGTAAGAGACGCCGCTGGTACCCGAGAGTGGGGGGGAGGGTGGTGCTGTGTCTGTGCCTCCGGCCCATCTTACCCCATCCCATCCCGCGGTTTCTGCCGGCGGAGGGCCTCTCTGCCTCAGGTTAGCCGGGCAGAGGCTATAAAGAATATCCATGCCGAGCTCAGGACTGCGGCAGCCTTGTCTCCACCCATCCCTTGGCGAAACCTGGGCCGGAGAGAGAAGCGAGGGGCTGGGAAGCTCCCCAGGCCTCCCTGGGCTCTCAAGTGCAGCAGAACTTTATGCTCAACTTCTTCCCGATGAATTAAATATAAATGCCGGGCGGAGCTGCCGGCTGCTTCGGGAGAGCCAGACCCCGTCCAAGGATATGCGCCAAAGGGCGAGCGAGTAGACAGAAGCATTAGCCAGAGCGAAATCCGAGGTGGAGCTGGTGGAGCCTGTGTGTCTTTCTGCTTCTCTTCCAGATGCTGTCATGAGAACTCATCACTTTCGCTCTGAGGTAATTTATTTAGCACGCAATTTCAAGGTCAGAAGTTGTTCTCTTTACCTGAGCACGTTGTCATGTTCTTTTGTTAATGAAATCACGTAGCGAACTTTTCATTTTGCATGAAATCTATAATGTCCTCCTTCATTTCTTGTTTATTTTTCCCCACACAAAGTGTGAGCTCTTCCTTCACATTACCTTAGCCGGCCTGCTGATTCCTGTCATTTCCAAAGCAATTGGGTCCTTCAGGAAGAGCTGTTCCTGCTGTACGTGCCAGACACCCCTCTGTCCAAAAAGCATTCCCGAGCCCAGTTACAGCCTGCATTGTCAATACATACAGCGCTACTGTGTTTTGCCTGCAGAGCTTCCCCTTGCTCGCTTTGCCGCCATCCCTCACCTGGGCCTCGCTCTTTGTCAGGGAAGTTGCCTGCCTGGCTTGGACGCTGCCGCGGGAGATCCAGGAAGGATCCAGATTACAAGCCTGCTCAGCAGGCGCTTCATTTCATGACTCTGTATTCATAGCTCAGGGGAATCAGAACTCTTAGATGCCAGTGCTAAAAGTATAACGTGAAACCTAGTCACTTTCTAGGGATTCTGAATTAGAAGATAATTGCTGGAAAGATATGGAAAATAATACTTGATCTGGTATCTACTTTGTTTCCATGTTGCCTTGTAGAGAGAGCTCCTGTCTAGATATTTCTCTTTCCTGGCTTCCTGCTGTTGATTTAAGATGTATCTTCATGGTATTGCCTGTTATTCTGGAAACCTTGAGAGAGAGTTGTGCACAAAAATGATCTTTTGGGTTAGATGATTAGCATTCTTCTTTACCCGCTTGTGGGTGAGAAAATTACCCAATTATGAGCAATGTTTTCAGAAGTAGTGTGCATGTAATACATCTTTGCAACGTGGTTCACATTGGCAATTTGCTTTAAACTCCTTACTATTTTGAAATTTGTATGCACTGTCACCAAAAGAGGACAATCTAGGGAGCATCCTATCTTTAACCCATGCAAAGTCTGATTTTGTTACTGACTGAACAGGGCTGCACTAAAACCAAGAAACAAACATGTCCCTTTGTAAGTCAAAAGTTTTTCTTCATTATATAGTTCCTCCAATATGAAACACTTGGTTTTCACATAAAGTTCTGTTACTCTTGAGACTAAACAGAGGTGAAGTTTAATTTGTAATGCCCTTTTAAAATCTATGTTGTCCTGCATGGTGAATCTTAAAAGGGAAATTTGCAAATTCACTAGTTTATTTTTATTACTTCAGCATGTGGTTATTTGCATATCACCCAGCTAGAAATAGACTAATTTAAAATATTTCATAGAAGTTTCCATTTACTGCAATGTGCTGGAATAAACCTGTAAAAACTGTTATATTCTCTCATAGGTTTCTACATTTTGTTTAGACAGGTTAACACCAGTGCTACTAGTCTAAACTGCCCTTTTAAGTAAGTGATGTGGAGCTGATTTCCTCTTCACTATCTGATAATAGACTTTCAATTTTTAAGAGAAAACAATGACTCAATTTCCAGTTCTTTTTCAAGCAAAACCTTATTTTAATCACTCTAACTGAATTGATCAATAACAAATTGCAGGCATACGCCCATGAAAATATTGGCAGCGTTATCTGAAACAGAGTTAGACATTCTCATTCTATATCAGCATAAAACATTACGCGCTTCCAATTCCAATAACGTGTTCATGAAAGCAAAGCATATAGGCTTTGCATAATCCCCATCTCTCTCCCCTCCCCACCCTCCCAAACAACATAGCATCTCAACTTCAAGTTTTATAGCACAAGGTCCATCTGCTAGCTTCTACTATGCTCAGTTGTTTGTCAGGTGCAGTGATAAGTGGCGTTTCTTAGTGCTAATAGAATATAATGAAAATAGGTTGATAGTAAATAGGAGTGGGTTGGCATTCATCTCCTGAGAGCTGTGTTCAAATCTGACTTAGATCACACGTGAACATGCAGGTGGTCTAGAGGCAGTGCACAGAGAATTATAATTGCCCTATCTACAGAGCGGTTGGCAATTCCTGCATGATTGGCTGCCTGCCAGGAATGCCTTATATTTGGAAAAATAGATGTGTAGCAAATTTATGTTGAGATTCTTTGCCAGAGCAGCAGCTCTCGTGCTGTGTGCCTACATTGTCTTTGTCTATATAGAGTGAGGACTATTTAATTCCTTTCCTTTAGAACTGAATCCCACATTAAAAAAATTAGACCCCATACTATGGGAGGGTAAATACTAAATAGATTTGAAGATGTATTTATGATCCTTTTCAGCTCTTCTGTTGTGAAATTTATATCCCACCAGTGAATTGAATCCACAAATAGTCCCTTCTTGAGGGTCTTGATTTTGAATGTGCAAAAGAGACCTCACTTGGAGTATAGAGATCTCACTTGGAGTACTGTGTACAGTTCTGGTGTTCTCAACATAAAAAGGACATGGAACTGTTGGAACAACTCCAGAGGAGGGCCATGAGGATGATCAGGGGACTGGAGCACCTCCTGTATAAAGATAGGCTGAGAAAGTTGGGGCTGTTCAGCCTGGAGAAGAGAAGGCTGCATAGCAGCCTTCCAGTATCTGAAGGGGGCCTATAGGGATTCTGGGGATGGACTCTTCATTAGGGACTGTAGTGATAGGACAAGGGGTAATGGGTTAAAACATAAACAGGGGAAGTTTAGATTGGATATAAGGAGGAAGTTCTCTGCTGTGAGGGTGGTGAGGCACTGGAATAGGTTGCCCAAGGAAGTTTTGAATGCTCCATCCCTGGCAGTGTTCAAGGCCAGGCTGGACAGAGCCTTGGGTGACATGGTTTAGTGTGAGGTGTCCCTGCCCATGGCAGGGGGGTTGGAACTGGATGATCTTAAGGTTCTTTCCAACCCTAACTATTCTATGATTCTAAAACATGCCTCGTTATTATACAGCAGAAGTCTATGCAGATATTCCTTATTATAGATTGAACTTAAATACTTGACCCCCTGCCTCAAAAAGAGGTAAGTTTGCATGAATCATTAGGAATATAAAGTAGGTTAAATTCTATCTTTGTTAGAGGTGCTTCATAACAGAAAACTGTACCAGCAAGAAGATGTGAGAGTTCACTGCAATAGTGCAGCAGCTTCTTCACCTCCCCGCTAATATTTATTTACTACCATCTGAAGTTTGTTAGGCCTATTCTTTAATACATTCTTTTTTATTGCAGTCATTTAAGTTCATTAGGACTGTAACTGCTCTTAAGATTTCTCCATCCTCCTGGTACTATAGGTACTCCATGAGAAGTCACATAGGAGTCACACCCAGAATAGTTAATGTTTCTAATCCAAGGGAGACCTAGATATGTCACGGCTGCAAAAAGAAAACAAGTAAATTTCCAACGGCAATATTCATTGCTTACATGACAAATCAGACTTTGATGTAGCTGTTTGCACTAGTCTCTCTTTATTTTGAGAGTCAGTTGTTGAATGAAATGTCTGGGCTTGATGAAAACAGTGCCAAAGTAACAATATAAATTCATGAGAGTTTTATCAAAATAGGGACTATGATCCATTGTTGGTGGTATTATTATTATGGTTAATTATTTTTCCTTGTATATTCAAAAATGTGAATGCTATCAGTGATTCACTGACTTCTCATGCTCTCTGCAGAGTTGTTTTTTTTTTTTTTCATGAAGTACAGGAATTTTCTGAGTACTTTGGGGTTTGATGTATTTCAGTGTTTAGCATCTTACACTTTACAAAGAGGTCAATGTCTTCTGTACCTTACAACTGAAAGGCATTGCTTAGTGTGTTTGTGTTGCCACTTCTTTCTGAATTAGTTTTCCCTATTGTCAAAGCCTCGTCTTTCCTTATTGTTAAACCTTCAGATTACGTGAGATTTTTTTTTTTTTAACTTTCAATTAAAAAGAAAGTAAGCTTTTAGCCCTTAGGCTGGAAGGAATTAAACCAAATAGTATAATTCTCAAAATCTTTGGATTTGAGGTAAGAACTTGTGAAAGGGAAGTTTCTCATTTAGGATCTTGAAATGGTTTTATGAGATTGTGAAGGGATACTTGATGGTTTTCATACTATTGGTAAAAATCACTGGATTTATACATCTTTAGTCTGATTCTTTCCTCTGAGCACTTCAGTCTTCCTTTATCTTACCTTCTAAATTAGAAGTACTGTGATCTCAGGAACTGAAGGTATTGGTGTCAGTGAATCGTCATGACTTGTATGGTATCTTTTTGTGTTTATTTAATTTTGACTCATATATTTTGGGCAAGTTTCCTGTGAATGTTTCCACTGAGACCTACAGGTATAAACCTACTAGGAAGCAAATCCGTAGAAATGTTACAGTCAGCTGTAAATCCCGACTTCACGTAACCCAGGTGCATGTCCGGTGGGACTAGGCACACCAGTAAGGCAAACGGGAGTTGACACTTTATGGAAAGACTCTCTGGGAGGGCTGGCAGCTTGTATTAACCACAGCTGTAGCAAAGGAATAACATTTGGTCATTTCAGTTTTGCAGATCCCATATTTTACTCTAAGTATACTGAACAGTCACTACAAGGTTATATATATATTCAGTCTATTGTTTTGACAAGGCTGGTAGTGAAATAGGTCAGCCAAGACTGATGACAATTTTCAAGAGCAAACGAATTTGCTAAATCATCCATTACGGTACAATGGATGCAAAGCTATCGTACAGTAATATCTGGTAAATGTATATGTCGACTTTGCCAACAATTGATGCCCAGAAAAAGTGTTCATAAATTTATCCCTAAGCATACCTTTACCATAATCGTCTTCCTTCTGAGGCTGATTGTGAGACAGTTGCCTAAAAATAGTTCTAGACATCTTACAAAACAATAATGAAAAATCTTTGAAGAGTTGCACCATAATTCATCCTGAGCATTGCAGTTATTTATAAACTGCTCCAGATATGTAGAGATCCAGTGAAAAGAGAAATCTGCAAACCCTCCAAGCTGAATTCTAGTCTCTTGTTTGATTGGACGGAGTGCATTCA